GGACCCAGACAGCCATGCCAGGGGCAGTCCCGCTGGTCCGGTACCCAGCCTCTGGAAGCAGGTGCATTGCAGCCACCTGCCTGGCAGGAGGAGCCGGCGCCAAGTGAGGCCGGCGAGGCTGGGGGGCTGGGGAGAGCTTTGGTGCAGCATTTTGGTTGGGGGGCGGCCACAACCCTGCCCCCACCTGCCCCTTTGGTCTGGGGGGCGCAAGGCCTCTCCCCAACACATTGGCCCCGAGCAGCACCACCTGTTGGCACCTGGCCGGGCCTGTGAGCAGCAGCGGCCAGCCCTGCCCCCCCTCGTGGAAACGGGCTTTGGATGGAGGGAGACCAGGTGGACTTGATTCACCCAGCAGACAGGAGGGCGCGCACCTCCTCGCTGGCAGAGTTCATGCTCTCGGGAGGGTGGACACGCGGAGGAGAAACCTGGGTCGTCTCGTGTGGAGGCGGGCCTGCTCTGGCGGCCGGCGCGGCAGTGGTGCCAAGGGCTCGGCAGAGACTGGTCGCTCACTTGTGTCGCTGCAGGGATTTCCTCTTCCTCCTCTTGAAGAAGCAACAGCACCTGGGGGGGGGGTGGGGGTGGTGCTGGGGCTCAGCCACAGGGAGAGTCCCAAGGTGGGCCCAGGAGTGCCCACCGACTGCCCCGTGCCCGTCATACTTGGTGTCATCAGCCACCTCCACCTCTGCGGGCGCCGTGATGGGTGCGTTAGAGTGGCCAGCCGTAGGGTCGTCTGCATTCAGCTCCCCATTGGTGGAGTTTAGCGCCTGCATGAGGGCAGGGGCAGGTGCCAGGGTCACCCAACCCAGGTTCCCACCTGCTCCCTTCCTCAATGGGGCCCCCAGCCCCACTCATCCTCACCTGGTGCTTGGGGTGCGAGGGGGCCTTGTCACGGAGCTGGGGCTGTGTGGGCATGTCGGGGTGCACCGTGCCAATGGGTGTGGGCTGCAGAGAGGTGGGAGTCAGGACAGTGGTGGCCCTCGCCCCCACCCAGCCACCGGCCCCCAGCCCCCACGTACCAGGGGCTTCCCGGCCCAGTCGTACTCGTAGTCGAAGACGAAACCGCTGCGGTCAAACAGGTCGGAGAAGAGCTTGCGCAGGTACTCATAGTCCGGCTTCTCGAAGAAGTCCAGCCGCCGCACGTAGCGCAGGTAGGCCGCCATCTCTTCTGCGGAGAGAGCCCAGCAGTGCCTCGGCGTCCACCCAGGGGACCTGCCCGTGGGGCTCCCTCTTACCTGGAAAGTTCTCGCAGAGCACTTCGATGGGCGTGGCCCGCTTGGTGTCTCCAATCTTCTGGTAGCGCTCCTTGAGCGTGTCCGCCTAGGGGTGGGAGAGTATCAGACCCCATGCCCCAGGAAGGAGCCGCCCACGCTGCCCAGGACTCACCTTCAGCCCTTGCCAGGGCAGGCTGCCACGCAGGAAGTACATGAACATGTGGCCCAGGGCTTCCAAGTCATCCCGACGGCTCTGCTCTGCAGGGGCAGCAGGGAGAAGGGGCTCAGCAGGTGGGGCGTGGGCCCCTCCCTCCCGGTGCTGGCCCCTCCCTCCCGGTGCGCACCCTTGCCAAGGTGGGTATTGATGCTCATATAGCGGGCAGTGCCGGTGAGGCTCTTGTGCTCGCGGTAGGGGATATGCTTTTTGGTCTCGGGGTCGATGTACTCCTTGGCCAGGCCGAAGTCGATGATGTGTATGGTGTGCTGCCGCTTGGTGCCTGGCCGGCCCACCAGGAAGTTCTCAGGCTTCACGTCTCGGTAGATGAGGCTCTTGGTGTGCACGTACTCCATGCGTGTGATCTGCGGGTGGGCGAGCGGGCGGGCAGGGGGAGGCCTGACCACGGTGCTCTGGGCCCACCTCGACCGACCCCTGCCCCCGCAGCCCGGCCCAGCCCCACCACACCAGCTGAATGGCGATCATAAGCACAGTCTTGAGCGTGAAGGTGCGGTCGCAGAGGTCGAACAGGTCCTCCAGGCTGGGCCCCAGCAGCTCCAGCACCATGGCGTTGTACTTCCCACACGGCCCAAAGTAGAAGACCTGGGGGATGCCCTCTGTGGGCGCAGCCAGTCAGACAGACAGACAGAGCCACGGAGAGGAGAGACGGCCGCCTCCCCCGGCCCTCGGTACCTGAAGTGCTGAGCTGCTTGTAGAAGCGGTACTCCAAGTGCAGCTGGGGGGCTCGTGACTTGATCGGCTCCTGGGGGTGGGGTAAGGGCAGGGGGCACTGGGACCAACTCCTGACAGGCCTGGGGGTGGGGTGGGGGCTCAGGCTGAAGGGGCAGGACTCACCAGTTTGATCGCTACGTATTCGTTTGTGTAGAGATTCTTTCCTGAGAAAAGAAGGGGGGGGGAGGCCAGGAGCAAGTGCATCAGGGGAACAGGCCGGCCTTGCTCATCCCTTCGGGCATCCTGGCTCCAGCAAGCCTCTGCCCTCTTAAGAGTGCCAACTTCCAGCCCCACTGGCACCTGGCCCGTGTCCCCCCAGGTCCCGTCAGTGTGGAACGTGCCCGTTTCTCTACAATCACAGAAGCAGGCAGCCTGGCCCACAGCCACGCTAGGCATCACTCAGCAGGCTGCCAGGGCACCAGAAAGGGGGTGCAGAGAAGGGACCCAGGATGCTGCTCCAGCCATGCACACGGTGCCCCTGAAAGGAACTACACCACACAGTGGGAAAGACCCTGGAAGCCCCCAGCCAGAGAAGGGGAGTCCACCCGACAGCTCTGAAAACCAATCTCTGGGAATTGACCCAACTCCCACAGAACTCAAACCTGCGGCACTGGCTTTCAAACGAATGCTTCTTCTCAGGGAAAAAATTACTCGTAGCCCCCCTGGATCACTACAGCAAAACGGGAGTGGAAAGGGGGGGGGCACGTAGCTCACATTGGGAAACACTGCTCTAGTCCACGTGAAGTAAACCCACGTGCTTATTAACAGCAACGCAACAAAGTGGACGCAGGCCAGACTCAGAGGGGCCACCAACAGCTATAACAGGAGGAGGACTTAGAGCCAGGGCACCACAGTGAATGAGCAGATGGAGATCCCAACAGAGAAGCACATGGAAACTAGAAGCGAACAGGCCACCTGTGAGGCAGAGATTGCTGGGCACTGCGCTGTGCACAGCACACGGGAAAGGGGAGCACACAGCGGCCAACAGAATTCTCCAACCCGGAGAGGGAGAAGCTGGGGACACATGACAGAGCCCAAGGGCTATGGGGAGTGTCACAGAGGCCAACGTGGCTGAGGCTGGGGTCCAGAGTGAGAGGGGAGCTGGAGTGAGGCAGGAGGAACGAGGGCTCAATGCCTTCTGACCATGCTGGCAAATGCCGATGCGAAGCCCACGGAATCCCGCAGGAGAATACACTCGCCCAGTACTTCGACTCAGGAACAGGGGCCGTGGTGGTATAACGGTTACACCCTGGGCAGCAGCTCGAAACCACTAGCCGCTCCCCGGGAGAAAGACGGGGCTTTCTACTCCGTGAAGAGTCAGTCTCAGAAACCCACAGGGACTGTTCCACCCTGCCCTGCAGGGCCAGGGCGCGTGGGCATCACATCGGCTCGACGGCAGGGAGATTTATCAGTCTGAAACCATGGCTAAGCAGGAGGGGGCTGGGGGGGAGACGCCTCTGGGCCTAGGGGCCTAGTCTGTGCAGCGAAGCACTGCCCCAAGCAGCCCTGGAGCAGGCACGAAACTAGCAGTGCCCACCCACCACAGTGGAGTCACGATGGTGCTCACGCTGAGCCCCACCCCAGGCACCTGTCTTCCCAGGACAGACACTTCCTGTCAGCAAGCTCAGTCCCATCGACTACCCTGCAGGTCCTGCCCACAAGCAGGCTGGGGCTGGGAGTCTGAGAGCAGCAAGACTGTGAGTGGGCTCTGGGTCCCAGTCAGAGCCCAAGCATAAGTGCGGCCTTGGGCTCAGGAAGGGGAGACGAGTGTGGGGCCCAGCTGAGCACTTATAACACAGGTGATGCCTCATGCAGGCACCCAGGGAGACATCACTCCAGAGTCCAGGCCAGGTGCCCATGGCACAGGTGGTGCTGGTGCTGGTGGGGCCCTGCCCCCATGGACCCCCAAGAAGGGCCACCCTCCTCCCCAGCCCTGGGCCTCACCCAGGCGGAGCTCCCCGAAGTTCCCGCAGCCGATCTTCTTGCCGACGCGGAAGTTAGGGCCCACCATCAGGACCCCCGAGCTGGCCCCCGTGCCTCGAACACCGTGGCTGGTCCGGCTCCCACTGGCCTTGGACATCCTCCGGCCCTCCTCCAACTCCCCTTTCCCTCCTTTCTTGTCAAAATCCATCAGTTTGTGGTACCCTGGCCTCTCCACGGTTACTCTGCCGTGCGAACCCGATGCTGCGGAAAGCTGAGGTTCAGTGGTGGCGGCGGCGGCGGCTAGCACACCATGGCAGCGCAGGCGGCAGGCAGGCCTGCAGCCCAGCTAGTGCACGGAGGGAGCTCGCCGAGGCCCGGCCACTGCGCCCATCCCGGTGGCCTCAGAGGCGTGCTCTCGGGCTGAAGGCATTCTGCTGGCAGGTCCTGTCGCCCTAAATCTTGTGGCTCCCAGCTGTGGGGAAACAGGAACAGGTTAGGGGGGCAGGGACCCTAAGACACAGTCAGTGCATGAGGCAGCTGGGCGAGGGGCCTGCCTCGGGTCCATCCCTAGAGTATTATCCCAGAGCCACACCCTGTCTGCACGTGACCTTTAGACCCAGACTCCAGGGGCCTCCCACCCCCCACCCCCACTGCCAGCCAGGACACTGCCACAAGCATCTGTTGAGCACCTGGTCATCACCCCCAGCCTCAGGAGTCTCCGCCCTCCAGGCCACAGGACCCTAGCAGTGCGGAGGGCAGGGAACTGATCAGCAGGGTTGCAGCACAGCTCCAGCGGGCCATGCCGTGAGGGGATGCACTCCCCCTACTCCCCGTGCAACAAGAGGGCTCTCCTGTGGGGCAGTCAGACATCACCCGAGGCTTGGTTACCATGATAGCCCAGGAGGAAGGGGCAGAGACCAGTATGAGAACACCAACATCCTGGACAAGGGGGCGGAGGGCCTTCGGGGGCCACATGAGGGGAGGGGACTGCTCTCCTGTCCACAATCCCCAGCCCTACCTCATGTGGGTGCCTGGGGTCAGAGGGAACCCCCACACCAGCTGACTACTGGTCACAATCCAGGGCAAGTTACCTAGCCTGTCCTTCTGGGACCCCTCCATCTTGTTAGGCCCAGGCCAGCCCTCATGGGAGCCCAGAGCCCTTCAGTGATGTCACAGTTCCTGTACTGATGTCACTGGCCTGCCCCCCCACCCCACTACCACCATGCTGGGTGGGGGCAGGGCCACAATGCTGCCCCATGGGCTCTGCAGGGAGGGCAGAGGCATGTCTGGACAGAGGCATGTCTGTACAGGTTTGGTGCCTAGACATGGGCTGGGATGCCCATGTGAGCAGGCTGAGTGCACACAGGGTCTGGAAGGCGCCCACCTGTGAACAGGGCAGTAGTGGCCCTCATCCCCCACACCTCGCCCACGTCAGAAGTCATGGATGCCAACAGCCTCAGACTTGGCGAGTCACTCATCCAGGAGGGGTGGGTGGCTCCTGACCTGGCAGACCCCATTCCCTCACAAGTTGAGCCAGATACCGGCCGCGTGGCTGACCCTGTCCCGTCTCCCCCAGAACACACCAGGGCCTGGAGCTTGCGCGCCACGGCAGCCCTCCCCGCCATCCCACCCCCAGCACACACATGCAGTGGGCACAGAGGTGTCCCAAGACCCCCGTACATATACATATGCTGCTCCAGATTCCTGTGGGCCCCTCCCTCACCTCCAGGGGAGCCCCCATCTTACACACAGATGGGGCACCCCCAGCAGGAACCTAGTGGATGGTGGGAGGTAGCAGTGTGCACAACTCCTCACCAACACACAGCAGGCTGGCAGACAGAAGGACGGGCCACACCAAGAGCGGGAGACAGTCACAGGGTGGCGGAGGAGAATGGAGCCCCCTGCCGGGGGTCGGAGGGTCACAGGCATGGGCAGTAGCTGAGTTCAGAGCCATCAAAAGGGCTTGCCAACGGGCAGCTGGGCCAGCAGCAGTCCAGAACCAGGCATACCCGGCCTGGGGAGACCGGCCCACAAGACCTTGCACACGTGAGTGCCGATGTGGCCATCAAGACGGCGGGTGCATCTGAATTGAGGTGCGGGTGGAGGGCAGGCCAGCTGCCGCCTGCTGGAGAACAGACAAGGCTGTCTTAAAGGAAGTACAGCCACAGGCGTAGACGCAAAGATGGCTCACTTTGCAGACATTCTCAGACGAGCCAAAACACCAACAAACCAAACTCGCTGCCCATAGAGCCAATGTCAACTCAGCAACCCCATAGAACAGGGTGGAACTGGCCCTGTGAGTTTCGTGCACAGGGGTAGAAAGCCCCATCTTTCTCCCATTACAGCAGCTGGTGGTTTCAAACTGCTGGCTGTGTGGTTAGCAGTCCCACCGTAATCTCAATGTCCTCGGGCAGACCAGTCCCTGGCAAAGCGGAGGCGCATTGACAAGAGGACGCACTGGCGTAGTGCTGCTCCGGCACAGTGACCGCGAGGCCGGCGCAGGCCCGGCAGCTTCATACTGCTTGACGGGGGCACAGCGAGTTGGAACCAACTGAGGTCACCTGCCGACCGACAGCAGCCTCTACAGAAGCAGGTGGCCAGGTCTGCCTCCTGCAGCCCAACACATAGCCCACGTGCCACGAGTGTAACTGGCACCGGCAAGGGCGAGGCCAGGCCCTCCGTGGATTTCTGGGGGCTTGCTAACATGCCCCCTAATCCCATGGTCCCCAACAGCCCTGTGGGGGCACTTGCCAGGAAGGGAGTCTGCTCAGCCACAGAGCAGGGCATCTAGTGGAGAGGAAACTGTGGAGACCACAGGCTGGAGCACTCCTTACATCACCCAGTGGGTGTGACAGCCCGTGAGCCTGTGCACAGTAAAGAGTGTCTGTCTGTCAAGGTGTGTGTGAAAAGTTCTAGAAGGAGGGTGCCGGCTCCCGGACGTGAGGCCATGTTAAAAACGTCCTCGGTGCTGGCCGGTGATGCTCTGTAACGGGAAAGCGTCAAGAGCTGCGACAAGAACCGCACAGGCAGCCCCAGGGGCCGGGGAGGACACCATACCCTGCCTCCCAGGGCCTCAGGCACTGCACCACCAGGGTCCTGGTGAGGTGAGGCTTGCATGTTTGTGCCACTGTGGGTCCAGAAGGGGGCGTTGATGGGTTTGGGCCTCACATGGCCAGAGACCTCTTGAAGGCCTCATGGAATCAAGGCAGCAGGCTGTTCGCCTGTTGGTCTGGGTCCACAGAAGCTGGGCCAAAGTTGAAAGGCCAGTCTGCCCTGGAGGTCACTGTGACCATAGGTCATGACCCACATGTGCAGTATACTGGCCCTTGCTCTAAATGCCCAGGGCAGCGGCAGCGAACATTCTGGAACTAGCCTGCACTCCTGTGTGCACATGGTGAAGCACACACCCAGGTCTCTAGGATGTGTGGCTGAGGCTCAGTCTTGATGCCACGGGGCCACAGCCACCCACAGAGCCCTCGGATGCCTGATGCCATTCAAGGCCCACATCACGTCCACTGCGGTCAAGAGGACCCCAGAGGCTCAGGGATGCAGAAGCTGCCACAGGCCTCGGTGGGGGTGGGACATCTCCACCACGTCCTGGCAGCTCCCCACAGCCAGGACCGGGTGCCACTGCAGCCACACAAGATGGGCAGGTGCCCATGCCACCCCCAGGGACCTGTGTGAGCGAGGAGCAGGTCTTGGCCGCTTCAGCCAGTTGGTGTAAACCAGGACCCCCACCGTAGGTTCAGGTCCTCCACTGGAGCTCTGAGTGGGTTGAATGTGTCTCTCCCATGCAGGGAGGCGTGGAGGTGGACACCGCACACCTCCACTCCAAACCCTTCGGTGCTCGGACAGCCAAGGCAACTCCAAGACATGGGGGCGGCGAGACTCAATGTGTGGTGAGGCGGACGGTCAGTGGCAAAGCAGAGCAGCCAGGACGTGCTGGGCTGGCAGGGTAGGATAGTGAGGATGGCGGCGGCCCGGGAGGCCCCGTTCTGTTGTGTGGTCACTAAAGCCAGGCGACCAAGTGTGAAAGACCAGCCTCCGGGACCCTCACCAGCACCACTCAGACCCAGGTCACATCCCCAGGCATCTCACTGACTGCCTGGACAGCCTTCAGTGCTGACAAAAGCAGCGGCATTTTGTCTGGCAGACAAGTGAAGCTTTCTCTGTCCCTTTCCGCCATGGCTGCAGGGGACCGTTCTCCCCAGGTGACTTCTGCTGAGGGGCACCTTCTGAGGGTCTCAAGCATCCCCACAGGCAGGAGACAGGGACCTGGGCGCCGTGTCGAGATGATGCACTCCCGTTGGGCACTCCAGGGGGACAGACTGGTCTCGGCATGAACGGGACCCTAGTTGGCTATGTACCCTCACCCGTCTGGCTGCACACGGCTGGGGAGCTGCAGGCAGCGTCCTCATGGCAGTTGGGGTGCCTGTACTTGGCTCCCTTGGAGCAGACACCTCAGGCCCACAGGACGGACCCCTGCGAGGTGACACCAGGGAAGACGAGAGGATGGCAGGAGGTGATGGGCTTGGCCTGAATTATTTAAACAACGAGCCAAGTCTTCTGATTACAGCACAGTTCAGGTGACGGGCGCAGTGGGCCGAGGGGACAGCATGGCCCTTTCGGGCAGTCAGAGGCCTGTGACACCTGTGGCCGTTGTCCGGGACTCAGGACCTTGGCAGGTGAACAAGGTACAGGGGTAGAGACACGGGATGGAGACTGAGAGGCGCCTGTGCAGAACTGACCTCAGATGTTGGTGTCCCCATCCCCTAGCCCTGGCTTAAGTGTCATGAACTTAGGGATCAGGGGACTGACAGGCACTCCTCAAACCACATGCTGAGAGTCATGGAAATGCTCCAGGGGCATCTTTCTGGGCTTGTGGGTGAGCATGCTGAGCTGGAATGACTGAGCACCTCCACGCAGGGAAGGCAGGCAGGAGAGAAGATGGGTCCAGCAGAGCCTGGGCAAGACTCAAGGGGATCCTGCATCGCCCTCCCACCCACAAGGGCGGTGACGGGTGGGAAGGCCAGACCTCAGGCCACATCTCCGTCTTGAGGCCTCACATGTGACACCGGCTCTCAGCCTGGCTCCTGGCGCAGGCCAAAGCAAGGTGCTCACAGCGCAGGGTGCAGGCTGCCACTAGGCACCCCCCGCCGCAACCTGCTGTCCTGGCACAGCTTGGGTAGACATACACAGGTCTGCTACTCAGCTCATGAAAAGGAAGCCCTGATCAACGTGGCACTGGCCAAGCCCATCAGGACCGGGGACAGGAGAATGGATGGGCAGAACCTACACTGTCAAGACTCCCCACAACCTGTCTAGTCCTGCTCAGGGGGCCTCCATGGCCAGGCTGTCAGCCCTGTGAGTATTCAGGGCCCAGTGGGGGGCAGAGGCTGACCCACTCACCGACACTGGGGGCAGGGTAAACCTAGATGCTAGCGAAGCAGACTTGAACAGGCTGTGGATGCCGCAGGCAGGGATGCCCACTGTCCTTTAGTGTGGACCAGTAGTCAGGCTCCCTTGAAAGTGTCACCGAGCAGCTCACAGGGTGCTCTAATCACCTGACCATGCAGACGCCAGCCTCCCCAGCTCAGAATGAGCATCTACACAC